TACTTCTCTTTAACTTTACCATTTATGTTACTGACGTAATATGTTCTTTTATAGATGATGATGGTAAATAACTTCTCCTTCATTAAAGAAATGTATAAGCTCACAAAACTCTTAACAGGATATCATTTAATCGTATCTTACCAATGTACATAAATTATAAAATCTGACATGTGATCAGCACCTATGTTACATTAACCAGACAATGTGATTTCTCCCTATTTTACATTAACCAGATACGTGAATAGTGCCAATCTTACATTAACCAGACACGTGATCACTACCGATCTTACATTAACCATTATTAGTACCCCAATCTTGCATTCACCACATATGTTATCAGTACCCCAATCTTGCATTAACCAGACATGTTATCAGTACCCCAATCTTCTATCTTACATTAACCAGACACGTGATCACTACCGATCTTACATTAACCAGGCACGTGATCACTACCGATCTTACATTAACCAGGCACGCGATTAGTACCAATCTTACATTGACCAGGCACGTGATTAGTACCAATCTTAAATTGACCAGGCACGTAATCAGTACCAATCATGCATTAACCAGACACGTGATCTGTCCCTATCGTACATTAAGCAGAGATATGATCAGTTCCTTTGTTACATTAACCAGACATGCGATTATCCCTTACCTTACATTAACCGCACATATGATCAGTCCATATCTTACATTAACCGGACACGTGATGAGTACCGGTCTTACATTAACAAGTGAAGTTGTTTATCACCGTCTTATATGTACTTATTAATTTTGTAGATGTAAAGTGATGTTATAAACTATATCCTTTGTAAAATAATCCCACATTCCCAACAGAGTTTGTCTAATCCCGATCACTGCTGAAGGAAGTTCGACCCCTTTCACAATTAACCTCTCGATTTGCTTGAAACATTAACATAATGATTAGGCTTGATCTGCTTGGGGGCTTCAAGAAAACAATGGAGGAGATCGGAAGCGTCGACAGTTCGTAAAATCTAGGAAAGTAATACACTGATTACGCTGACTGTAGGAAGACGTTTCTTTTGTAGTGTTCATTATACGTACATCAAATGTTCTTGTCTGCTGGCGTCACCTTATCTAATATGTCTTATAGTAAATTTAATCAATATTTCTATAAAGAGGGACGTTTATTTCACAGATGCGTTCAAAGTGAATTTAGGTTCATCTGTACATTAAGGTTATCGCTCGGAACCTGATATAATTCCATCAAGATTCCACTCCTCTTCATAATGACTGCAATGGCATTTAGATGCATTAGCATTTTTACGGGGTAAGGGAGACAACTGCAACAAATACACTTTATCATGGCGAATAGTGTATAGCGTGGTGTATAAGGACATTCACTAAACACGACGGATAACAAAGAAACGAAGTAACAACCTTATTACGTACATCCTGTGTTTCATGACATATTGTAAATAACCCAAACATTTTGATAATACTTGGGAAATTACAGCAGCGATTTGGAATCAACATTTTTTCTAAATCTTTTAACAAATACGTGTTCACACTTTAACAAATAATGCTATTCGTCACCAATTTCATTAAAATATATATTAAAAGCTCTGTTTTCTTTCGGAATTCCAACCTATCTTCAAGTCCCAATAGATAAATGTATATTCGATGTTCTTAACTTAACGATAAATTGTCTTTCTTTTGGCTTAATCTTCGCAAGATATTTTTTTGTTCAAAATGTGTTTTCAAAGTAGAATAAGTAAGTCCTCATGAAGAATTCTTTAAATCATTATACCATTGTTGGATAAACTGATCTAAGAATCTTTGTTTTTCAACTACATTTAGATTATCTCTACTAAACGTACATGTTTTCTGGTATTCCCAGATAAACTGGATCCAGTTTCAGTAAATATATTACCAATATTCTTCATCCATTTACATTCCACACCACCATTCGTTTGTAAAGTAACAATTAAGTTATACATTATGGTTGACAGATTATGACGTGTTAGCAACTGAAACCGAAATATAATTACTCAGCTTGTAACGTCTATATATAAAGGAAATCTCCCAATCTCTCCATAAACCGTGAAGTTTGGTGTACTTCTTTAAATACCCAATGTAATCTTACAGAGTTATAAACGTAGCTTTTTAAGAGAATTCTATTCTCAAATCCCATACTTCCTCTGAATAGAGAAGATTATCTACAGGTAGGGAAATATTTATTTTTGTAGACTGCAGTCATAATTTTTTGGACTATTATCATAATTTCATTTTCTTCTTTGAATAACATTAAAACATATTACGACACCCAATTAAGAAACTGATTATTGAATCTCAATCTTGTCATTGCATATAGTGAAATGAAACTCGGTTCGACATTTTCTCTTTAAAAAAAATAACAATTGTGGTTTTGCCGGTTTTTACGTCAAGCTTCCTTCCAAGTTTTACAATATACGTTGTAGTTCGAACTTATCGAGAGCAAATTGAAGTCCTTCAGCTGATTTAGACATTATGATAGTGTCTTCTGCATATTCTGATATCTTCACTCAACATCTGTATTTTTTTAGACAATCAACACTGTGTTATGCAAGAAAACCCTTGAGATCATGAAGTCAAATAGCAAATAAAAATGGCGATAGATTTTCCCCTTGTTTTACGCCGACGTTACATTTGAACATTTCAGATGGTTAATTTCGATTTTTAACACAAGGTTTAGTATTTGCAAATAAATTGAAAATTACTTTGAACATTTCCTCTCATAGTGACCTATTGCAGTTACCTCCGGCGCCTGTCGTGCGACCGTAAACAATTTCGACTTCTTCTCAAAAACCCCTGAACCGATTTCAATGAAATTTAGCAGAAACATTTCTTGACCTTCTTAAGGTGCTATATCAAAATTGTGAATATCATGACCCCAGGGTCTCACATTTCCCGCGGGGAGGGGTAAAGTTTACTATAGTTTATATAGAAAAATAGATATTTGAGCATAATTTGTTGAATTTCCATTGGAAATATTTCAAACTTGGTTAGAATTTTGAGCAAGGGATTTCAAAATATTCTTCTCACCAGCCAGGTACGATAGAATCAATTGCTCTTCGTCGGTGGAAGCGTCTTACATTACCAAAATGGGTCTCACATTTCTTTCTGTGGGTGGGGGGGGGGGGTTAACTTTACAGTAATTTTTATGGAAAAATGTATTTTTGAGCATAACGTTGTTTATTTCCTACTGGAAAGGATTATTATTATAGGATAACAGTTTTGACGGTATGCATGTATTGACACGTGCTTACTAGCATCAATGTCACCATTTATTTTACGTGACATTTGAAAGCTGCTTAACTTTAAACATTTATAATCAATATTGCTTATTTCAGATGACTGTCAAGGCTGTTAGGCCTCATGTTATATAACTGTTCTGAACTTTTCTCCGTACCCCAAGTCTCAAATCCTATTCAAACACCTATCTGAAAACTATAAATACAGAAATACTTTCCCGTTGGAAAGTAAATGGAAGTTAAGGCAAGTAGAATGAAAATGTTGTCAGCGGTAGAATGGTTTTTCCTGAAGCTAGTTTGAGTCCAACTTATTTAAAGCTAATATCTTAAAGTTGCTTATTATGTTATTATCCACTGAAGCAAAAACTTTACCAAGACATGAGGCCAGACTTATAGCTGTGTACTTATCATGACTTCCCGTATCATCTTCACATTTATACACAGGTTTACTTACATCTATCTTTCAAGAATCAGGTATGTTACCTGTATCATATAGAACTGGTTTGAATAATCCTACAGTATGTTTAAGATACTCAATCATGATTCTATTACAATATCATAATATTACTTAAGTAAGAAATGGATTCAGTTCTTTCAATTTCCATATTGTTTCCATTCCTCATCGAATCTTCCATCTACATGTACCATTTCAGTGTCATAGACTAAGTACTTTATATACCGGCATTTTGAAGAGAATTTTTGTTCGAGTGGTTGTTATCGGCATTACACATAACCACGTTTATCTTTGTGAAAATCTAGTCTCTTGATATGACATTCTCTTGTAAACCTAGGTTTGCTAACATTCCATATTCCAGAAAAGAGTAAGTTGTCTTTCATTAACCTGGTTTGTCGTTCTATAATTATCTCCCTTTGCAGACTAAATTCTTCGCTCGCCCAGTCCCTTTCCTGTTCTGATTATGTATCATTTCTTCGCTTGCCCGTCCGGAACACCTGGTCTTTTTCACCTTGAACTTTTTCAGGATCTCCGTGTAAATCTTTCTTTTGTTCATATTTTGCGCGGGTTTTATGGAATTTCAGATTGAATTATGATAATATTGCCCTGTTGGTATTTGACTTTTATTTATTTATTTATTTATTTATTTTTAATAACTGAACCCGTCGATAAACATATATGTGTTATAGTGTTTGCCTTACTGCCTTATTGTAATCATATGTGTATGCATCTACATTTTCATTGACTATGCTCATTTTAGAGCATAGTCATTAAAGAAATAAATTTCAATAAGAGCCCATTTTAATTAGAGTATGGTCAATAAAAATGTAAATATCAACAATAGCATAACTAAATGTAAATATACACGGATGTAGACATTAAATTATCATACTGAAGACTGAAATTTTCGGTCTAGCACAATGAACTGCTAACTGTATAATAAGAAGTAATTCGTTCGCATACTTTTTTATCATAAGTTCAAGTTTAAGTAATATCTTTCCTAAGCTGAATGGTATATTGGAGGCCGCGATCGGTCGTCAGATCGGAAATTTACCGGAAAAACCCGAGTGATGATTGTTTAGTACCGTGTGCAAAAATGTCTCGAACCCAACATGCTAAACAATAAACATGTTTTTTTGTTACAATTCATTTTCCCCGTCAATATTAAACTTTCAAATGACAGTTCGTAAAGTAAAAATATCGACCATTAACTGCCAATTTTGAGCGATAGTTTAATTTATGGTTCTTAAGAATGACGTCATTGTGTGAAACGAACGACCTTGCCCTTGTGTTACCGGACGCAAAGCGGCGAAGATAATACCAAAATAAAGACCGAATCACTGAGAAAATAAGGAAGGAGTGACTTCGGTGAGTTGCGAAGATCGTGTATATGGTATATTGTGCTTACATGCATTCCCCAGGCGTATTTGAGGCGCCCAGAATGGTTCAGCTTTAAGATGTCAAAGTTTCATTATATATGGCTGTTGATGAACAAAGATGGCGGGCGAATATTATTGGTGAAAACACGTGCTATATTTTTAATGAGAAATTACAAGCGTAGTTACACGTTTACATATCAACCTAACACACGATATCAAAATCAAAATAGTTAGATTCACTAACTAACAACTCCTTCGTCAAAGTCGCCTTATTGCATTGAAATACACTTTTTATGTTCGCCATTTCCACATTACTTGTATAGCCAGTTTTAACTGATAAAAAGATATAACACCCAGGGGTATAATCCTGAAACCAATAACTACACTTTCAAGATTTATCATTTTTACACGTTATATTAAAGACCATCTTAAAGCGCCCATGATAAGATCTTGTCAATGGAAAAAACAACTCTTATAATATGTTATGAACACAGAATGTATGTTGATACACAAGGGCTTGCCTAGATAAATGGTTTACCTTTGTGTCAGGAAATAAAGGTTGATATACAAAAGATGAAAAGTCTCAATTTTGTAGTATTTCAATTTTGGGTCCAAAACATGGAATAAAGGGGGTATTTTCATAACTATAAGGCCTGAGTAAGGATGTCAAAGTTATTTTTATCTATAAGAAACTATAAGAAAAATTATTAAGCATGATATAATTTTGACTATATCTCATTATTTTTCCAGGATTAGTAGTTGTCAACTATGGCACATTTTGTGTATCCGGCAGCCAATGCTCAGCCAGCTGCCGCTTACCCAACTGTCCAGACAGCGTATGTGGCTGCAGCACCCCAAGCAGCTTATGCCACTGCTGCCCCTAGAGCTGGACAGGCATACGATAGCTACCAAACAGCACATGCTACACCTCAATATGCATATACTACAAGAACACAAGTGGCTGTAACGGTTAGTCTGTGTAATTTATAAATCATCTCTGCATTTAAATTTTTTTTTTTTTTTTTAATTTAAACATTGTATTTACAGAATTCAGGGGTCACACCAGCTTTCAAAATTCTTGCTTCAAAAATTTTGCCAAATGTGCTATTTTTTTTCACAGAATAAATTTAGGAGCCACACATGATTTGATCAAAAACTATCTTTAAATAAAAGAGCTTCTTGTTTCAGTATGATTTATAAATATTTATATGAACTTTAATAAAGAAATCACCTTCAGTTTCAGTACTCGTTTCAATAAGGTCTTAAAAATACTAATTAGCTCAGGAAAAAAATAAATACCTGGTAGTATTGTCATGTACATGTAATTCATATCTTATGGGAAAATCCAGAATTAAAAATCATTTAAACAAAGAAATTGAGAATATATTTTAATGGGAATGAGCGGTATGGAAATGAACAAATTAAGCACAAAAATGTACCTGTATCTTTTTACTATTAATATCATAAAACTAAGATATAAACTGCCATATTGATTTCAATACTTTTCCAACTTGTTGATTGCAGATTTGGATATATTGATTATTCATGGTATTGTATGTCTTTCACTGATAAATGGGGGGATGGGTGGGGGAATACATTGATGTTAGATGTTTTCAGTGTGAAATATTAGATTGGAGGTTTTATCTAAATTGAGTCAAACAAATTTGGTTTATTTCAACTGAAAAAAAAAGGCAAAAATCATTCCTGAATTTGGGCCCAGATTCGTTTTGTGGTACTAGTCACATTTACTAACTTCTGTAAGTCAACCACTATGATTTTGATGGAGATAGAGGACAAATATATTGAATGATTGCATTAGAACTGCAAAATGAAGTTTTCTAGTAAGTGTTATTGAACTTCATACTTAAATTGCAGTTGTGTTTACTACATAGGCATTAATTCATGTCAAAAAGACCTTAGTTTGAATGGAAAGTGCTTCGCTATTAACTATTGAACATAAAGATTTTTTTTATCAAAACCAAGTGTTTGTTCGATGTGCTATTTATAGGTAGGTTGCTTATAACTCTTTTTAGTGATCTCTGTGATGACCTCAATGCACTAGGCTACTTGTTAGAGGCCTAGTCTGTTTACATACCAATCGGCCGACGAGGATTAATGGTTGTAGCATGACACTAATTATTTAATTATTAAAACTCAATATTTTATTGCAATTAAAATCTTTAATTGCAATGCAACATTTGTGACAGCTGATGTGAACCCTGGAATTTGTAGAAATCTAGGTTGAATATGATCTGTTCGTAATATTTCAAGATTCGCTAGGTTATTTTCATTTAGTTTTGACAAATATTTTGTTGGTCATTTCTAAATTCACATTTTCTGCAACTGATCATTCAAATCCTGCATAAATGTTTGGGTTGACTATTAACAAATTGACATGTTCCACAGCCTGCTGCTACATATGACCAGAAAGCATATTACCAGCCAGCGGCGCCTTCTTATACAGCGGCTGAGACACATTACCAACCAGGTAGAATCTAATGGCAAATCATGGAAACTTTAAATTTATCAGAGGATTCATAATTATCAATGGAAGTTTTGAAAAATTAGAAGTTCATAGACATGGTTAAAAGAATTCTTTGTTATTACAAAATCACAGATTTAACACACAATTATAATATGTTTGTTAATACTTGGCTATTTTCCAGACTTCGATTACACAAACAGGCAGAATATGCATTACTTGTCAGATTGCTTATACATTTGAATATTTATTATAATCAAATTTTATATGTAATTTATACAAGAAAGTACTCTATAAAAATATATCTTTCAAGTACAAATGATTGAATTGTTGCTATAATTTACCAACTGGAAATGTACGAAGATTATTTTTTTTATTAGCATACACTGTTTCAGCTGCGGCTGCCAAGCCAGTGTATACTACTGGTGCTGCCTACAGCACCCAGCGTGCTGCTGCTCCCAAGGCCCAGACGCAAGTCCAAGTGTCAAGTGCTCCAACCTATGTGTATCCTGCCAACTCCACACCAGCCGTTACCACCTACGCCAGCAATTATGCCACAAACACAACATCCAGCAACACAACAGCATATACAACAAAGGGTAAACATCTGGTTCCACCTCTTACAATGAAAAAACAAATATTTCAGGTCGGTAAGTATATATGTCAATAGAGTTTCATTTTCACCAGTAAGAAATTCTTGTAACATTTCAGTGACTTCACTCTGTCGCCTTTATACAATTAGTTTGGTGATGATGACCGAGTTTAGATATGAAACTCTATTCACATATGGATAATATTTCAATTCAGTGAAACTTCTTATAGAGCCACCAAAACTTTTTTTGAATTTTTGTATGACAGTAAAAAGCACTTTATAGGGCTTTGAGCATTGTTCATGCATTTTGTAGTGTTTACGTTTAGGAGTAGATGAATTTGCTTAACATATTTGTTTTATTTTGAGTGTTACATCAAACCATACACAGAGTCAATTTGCTGTATTATCAACATAAAATTCTAAGACTGATTATGATGATAATCATTTGATTATTGACATGTGGGAACCGTTTGCAGTTGTAGATATGAAGCTAGTTCGAGTCTGTGTACCTTGATGAATACTTGCGTCAGAATAATTGTTTAACTCATTATACAAGAAACAATTGTCCAAAATGGAGAGAAAAAAATATAAAGAAACAATGTAGTGAAGTTTCTAGTTATGTTGTTTTCTGTTTCTTTTACTAGTAGTACCAATAAGTGAATGAATTTGTTGAATTTTATGAAAAAATATTTGGACAATTACAAAAAATGGGTTAGAAATGAATATTCTGTTTTGGTGTTTAATTTGATATCAACTGCAAAAAATCACAGTCAGTTTTGCACATCTCTTGTTACCTTAATAAAATTTTGATATCATTATGGTCTTATGCTATATGTGCTGTGTCATTATCACAATTAAAAACACTTTACTGAGCATGCATCAAGGCAAAGTCAGGTTCATGCAATGTTTCTTTCCATGTTTGGTGTTTGTATTATCTGTGAGTCCCGAGTTCAGCTTAATGAGCATGGCACTCTTTAAGTATGGCCAATAGAAGAGATGTTTACCAAGTTATTTCTTTGAAAACATTGTTACTGTATTTCTGTACATGTGAAGTCAAAACTGTCTCTGATTCAGTACCCAGTTAGTCAATGTCTGTATATACTAGTTAATAGAAGCCTATGCTTTCTAAACATGACCATTTTTCTATTGCAATATGATAAGACTATTTGATATCCAAACAAAAATATAAAAAAATAGGACTATTTGACATCAAAAAGGGGAAAAAAATGTTGGAGAAGAAAAGATAAACATCATTATGATATTTGAAGAAGGCTCGTTATCAATGTACTGACAGAAGCTTAATGTGAAATATTTAGGTGTTTTATCACGGAGGCTGGCTGACAGAGACAACCCTGTATCCTACTCAATGCTGTGTTCATATTTCAGCCTCCACTGGTTCCAACTACAACACCATTAAACAAACAGTACAGCCTGTTGTTATTAAAGGTATGAGCAGGATCTTTCTATGGCAGACTGGTTATTTCTACACTTTTGTGATCTAACATATAAATATGTGTCTACAGACATAAGATAGGCCACAGTATACAAAATTATCAACCTTGTTTATACAGGCAAAAGTAAGGACATGCCACAAAACCATTGATTGCTAGAATGTAATTTTCTCTTCTTTATTAAGCTTGATGTACACGTATGTAAAATACTTTTTATGGTAGACTTTGCATGTCCAATTTTCTCTTTTGCATTTGCTGTAAATTTGTTTTATAGTATGATCAATTTTTAATGCCATGGTAGGTAATATTGAGTTTAAATTTGTTGATGATCGGTACTATTTTGATTCATTACTGAAATTCATTACTGTTCTGGTCACTTTCCATTAGTTAACAACTCCCATGACAAAAATGATCAGTTTTTGTCTAAAGTTTTGAAATTCTTGTGAATTTCCATCTTTTTACACACCGTGGGTGCTTACTTGTCTGATTTTAAAAGGCTTCCTAGATATCCACTGAATGTGACTATGTCAAAGCTTAAATATTCATCTAAATGTGGCTTTTGTGCGATTCACTCACATTCTATGTTGAAAACTTGTTTGAAAATTTTGTTTCGCTAGTACTTTTGTGAATAGTGAAGCATACATAATAAATGACATGTGCTGTGGGTCTAATAAGAATCATAAATGAATTTCCCAATTTGGGCCTTTGCTTCTACAAATTTTGAAAATATGTATTTAAAGTTTTTTTGAAAATTTCTGATAAGAATTTCTTAGACTTCTAGGATAGGTGACGGTCTTCCTTGTCTTTCCCATTCTGTTATTGATCTTTAACCCTCTGACTTTTTTCTTGTCTCTGCATTGAAGTTATGGATGAGAGAAAGGAGATAAATTATTATGAAACATCCGTTATATGTGAGTTTGTTGCACATACCGAGTAGTGACTATCACTCTTGACTGAACAAATATGGATAAAAATGTGATTCTGTTATATAGCCCCCATATTCAAGACTAGGGTCTCTTACTATTTGAAGTTTTTTAACCAATACAATGTCACTATTATCAATTGAGTGACTTCATTCAGAGTTTTTTATCAATGTTAACTGGGAGACATTATTTAAAACTCCATTTCAGATGACCAAAAAAAAGCCAATCTGTGGCAAAATAGTTTGTCACTGCTCAAGAAACTTCATTACTGTACCAAATTTACTAAAATCATACAAAAATGCCTTGATTGATGAATAAATTTCTTACTGTTTATTGCCATTTTAAAAATCACTTGCTGTTTATAGAAGATAATCTTGATAAACCTACAGTACAGTGTCATTTCACGTCAGCTTAGGCTTTATTAGCTCAGATATTACTATGCATCTTTTGTCTTTATATTTCATGGAGGAATGCCGTTGATAAAAAAATTTTAAAAATCGTAATAATCTCAGTGTTGTCGCTGTTTAATATTGATTTATGCTGCCCTGTCCTAACAGCATTTCAATTGATAACCCACTACTATTAACCTTTGGCTGCTTTTGGATATAATTTTTCCGATTTTTCTCTATACAAATAATTAACTATCAGAAAAATAAATTTGCTTATGGTATTGAGTGTAGGGTATGTTGGCACCAGTTTATTTGAGAATATTTATAAAAAAATTTATCCACAAAGTAAATAGCTTTGAATATGAAAAACAAGAGACTGAGAAAAATACATAAAGACATGATAATCATGCTTTTTTTTCTTGTATATTCTAGGGTATGATGCTGCTCTTTACTCTGCAGCAACATCCTATTACCAGCAACAGCAAGCAGCCAAAACTCCAACTGGCACTTGGCAACTCAAGAAACAGGGCCAACAGGTTGGCAAACCAAAGCCAAAAGTCCCCCCAAAACAGCCACAGCTTCATTACTGTGATGTGTGCAAGATCAGCTGTGCAGGGCCTCAGGTTTGTGCTGCTGCAAATTTTAAACTATGTCCACTATTAATGTTGCCAGTTTTGAGTGAATATTTCTCACAAAATGAACAAAGATGCTTTTTAAAGATGTAACACCTTTTCATGATACACAGTGACTTCGTTTCAGTGAAACAGGAACTTTTATACCAGTTATGCATTCAAAAAAACCAGTGAGGATAAAGTTTAATGAAGACTAGTCCTTGTTAAAGTTATGTCCATTTTCCATAACAACTATGAAAGCAATTATAATGGTGAATATTTCACAAAAACTTCTATGGATAATTGTCAAAAACTCGCTGTATTTGTACTTTGATGTGTTGTTGTAGACCTATAGAGAACATTTAGAGGGACAGAAACATAAGAAGAAGGAGGCTGCGATGAAGTCAGGAAACAACTCCCAACCTGTTGGACGTGGTGGACAGAATCAGCTACGCTGTGAACTATGTGATGTCACATGCACAGGAGCTGATGCCTATGCTGCCCACATAAGAGGCTCAAAGCATCAGAAGGTAGAATGGCTTTTGTTGGTATTCAGACATACTAATTTGACTTCAAAGTCTAAAGCCCACTTTAAATGTAACCTTCTTGACAGTGAACTTCTGTGTAGGTGAAGGGTAGTTTTAAAATGATTTTAAATTACCCCATGTATTATAGTGAGATGCATAGATTGTTTGCTGGTTACTTTACATAAGCATGTTACCAGTGTCCCAAAATGCAAGATTGCTGCCAGTCAAGAACACTATCACTAAAAAGGGAATAGGGATGTTGATTGTTAGGATTATCTGGCCCCACTTGTATAAAATATCTCAATTTCAGATTTCCTCAAGCCCAGATTTTCCTCAGCTAATATCTCCTTGAAAATATCTTGTATGAAAATTCCTCAAGGAATTTCAGGACATCCTAGCTGATGACTTCCTCCTGTCCCTTGAGAAAATGTTATACAAGCCGTTTTTGAGGAGATATCAGCTGAGGAAAATCTCGACTTGAGGAAATCTAAGTTGAGATGTTTTATACAAGTGGGGCCAGGTACTCAAAACTGACACAGAAAGGATTTTCAAGTTTTTGACATTCTATCATTGGTCTGACATGTTACATTGTAGCTTTACATTCTGAGATTGATTTCTTGGCTCCTGGAAATCGATTTTTACTGAATTTTTGGGTGCACACATTATATAAAATGAAGTATTTTTTTGTCATTTTCAGCCCCAAAAAGTATTTGTGCCCATTATGTAGGTGTGCACATTACATAGTATTTTACGGTACTTGGAATTCATCATCAAATTTACACCTTTGTTCCAAAATAACAGTGTAGCCTCTGCTTAATGATTATAAACCTGTAACACTACATTGAAATGATTTTTGTATTTTTAGGTCTTGAAGCTGCACACAAGACTTGGGAAACCAATTCCTTCTACAGATCCAGTAATTGTTTCCCCAACTTCTGCTGGGTCATCCACTACTGCAAAAGCTGGAACGTCTGCCACATCTACTGCTGCTACAGCCACCAAGCCCACCAGCAAGCCTGCCCCTGTGGTCACTGCACAACCGACCATCACCAAGAAGGTGCTTTCCACTCCCAAGATCACCTTTGTTGGAGGTACTCAACTCAAGACTCTAGGAACCAAGCCTGAGGAGGTCAAGGTGGAACCTAAGATTGAACCCATTACATCATCCGCATCACTGACAGATGATGGTAGGTGTACACAAGGCTCTTAAGTTTTGTCTTAAGGTTTTGATAAAAAAATAACATCCAACATAAATGAGTTTGATCAATGCCTCTACTTCGAAAACTGTGTATGATAAATAAACTTTAAAGGTATATTGAGATACCTTTTTGATTGTGCCTTTTGCTAATAGAAAAGTTTCTTGTATGGTATTTCTTTTGTGATAGTAAGTGGCTTCTGTTGTACTTTTATTATATTTTTTGCAGACAAAGACGATGAAGATGGAGACAAATTGAATATCCTTGGTGAGAAAGATGTGGCACCAGTTGGTAAGTGCTGGTTCTTAGTATGTTTCATTATGAAAAAGCTGAACAGGTCTTATAAACTTTGTTGGTATGAATTTCGAAAAGCTATTTAGTAATGTAACTCTAATAGTGATGCCCAATGTCATAAATTATCTTGAGTTAGGTTATAAGATTGCAAATGCATTTTGTCTGTAGTGAAGGCCTGCACAGCTCTTAAAGCGTATTTGTCATGTATGCAATTGATTTCATCAATTTATTTACCACTGAACCTTTGCCCTTTTTAAACACAATTACCTTATAAAAGTACAGTCAAACATTGTTACCTCAAACTCTGAAAACTCAATACCCTGCTTAACATACAGTACTTTGTCAGTGCTGACAAAATTCTCTTTATCTTATCTTTATTTTAGTGCTATAGACTCTGGGAGGGGGGTATATTTTAGAACTGCTTGTCATTTGAATATTCTTATATTAATCATTTAAGCATACAAATATTTGACAAATTATGGCTAAAAGATTCATTTTACTGCCAGATTGATTGTTATATTTTTAAATCGAAGGTCATGAGTACATTGAAGAGGTGAAGAATGAACAGGGAAAAACCATCAGCTTTAATTGCAAACTGTGTGAATGTAAATTCAATGACCCCAATGCAAAAGAGATGCACATGAAGGGACGCAGACACAGACTACAGTACAAGGTGTGTATTGTAAAGCAGGAAACGATGCTCTCTGTTCATCTATTGATGAGTCATACATCACTTTTAAAGCTGTTACTTCAAATTGAGAATTCCAGACATTACCAAATAGTGTAACAGCAGCACCAGTATTTCCAGTTGAGATTTTTTTTATGGATTAATAGACTGAAAAGACAATTTTATATGTTTTCCTTCTTTGTCTTCTTAATCTTTAAAATATTTTTGCTAGACCACACATGCTTTAAGCAGATATGTCATGATAAGGCTGTTGAATTTGGCACAATATTGCAATACCAAGACTAGATAATCAATAAATAATAATTATTAGAACAGGGGCATATCAAGGTTTTACGAATTTTCTCTAGTTTTATGGACAGCTAAATTGAGGTGTTTACTTTGTAGAAAAAAGTGGACCCAAGTTTGAATGTGGAGGTAAAACCAAGCATTAGAGCAAGAAAGATCCAGGAAGAGAAGATACGGCGACAAGCACAGAAAGAGGAATACTGGCGACGTCGGGAGCAGGAACAAAGGTGGCGAGACGAGATGAGGTACAGTGTACAGGATCTGTACACACCAGCTGCCTAGAACATCATCTCTGATAGGGTGTAATTACTGCCACACATAGGGAGTAATTACATATTGATTCCTGTCACAAGAATATTTGAAATCAGTTTTAATGAGGTTTTTGATAAGGGTGTTTGGAGAGAGAAAAAAGAAAGAAAAACCGTACATATTCATAAATAATGATAAAAATATTTTTTCAAAAACATCTTATAGAATGCATATTTATCATAGAGATTGTTTGTGCTTTTTGTAATTTTTTGTTGTCATGACGGCTGAGTTTTTATTTCAGTTGCTTTTCTTAGCAAACAGAAAGCTTAATTATTCTTTTTAAAAAAAAAGAAATACAGTTTCTAAAAAAGGAGCCATTTCTTATTTGGAACCATGGCCATTTCTTGTTAGTCAGATGCAGTACTTTGGTATAAGTGAAAAGGAATCCAGGCTGGTTTGTGCAAGGTTCTGTGTACTGTTTTCTCCTTTTGTAGATTTTAGCATGGTGTTTGGAATGTCTTTGTCATTGAATATATTTGCACTTATTTCCTTGACTAGCTAAACTTTTAGATACTAACATCATTTCTGTTTCTCTACAAGGCTTGTTGTGTGATGTAAAATTTGTTCTTCTTGACTGCACATCCGTTCATATAACATGTATAACACATGCAATTTATATGATCCTGCTTACACTTTCGTATACATCACTTTATCTTTTTAACAATAACATTGTGTATTTTAACACTTAATCAGTGTATTTAAACACTTGATCAGTATTACCAAAACAAATCAAAGTATACCTAAAAGCACTCCTCAATGGACAAATCTCGAGAGGAGGTGTTCTGGAGCTTGCAAAAACATTCTGAAAATGTCTAATTTAGAAACATCAAATTAGAAACATATTCTTATGTTATTCAATGATCCAAAAGTTTTATAGAAAATGAAAGAAAATTGTGAATAATTTGATTGGATAAAAATGTTAAAGCTCTAATGTTGGTTATTCAGTAGCAGCCCTCACTACCTAGAGCAATAATCAGACACGAGCTTAAGACCAAGGGACATAAATCTCCTATCTCCTGATAAAAAGCTATTTGGCATTAAATCATACCTTGTGTTAAGCAACATTACTGTCAACAGGCTTGGATGTAGGGGTAGATAGTAATCAACCTTATGGTTACAGCTGTGTAATATACCATCCGCACTGTAACCAAGGTAATGGTGCCATTATTTTAACTCTGCTTTTAGGAGTTATTCCCTATGTTTGATCCTTCAGATTTTGTGCATTATTGTAAATTTTACAATTGATCAGGAAATCAAAATGGCTGGCAAACAGCTATCTTTAATTAGTACAGTTAAAGTTTTTATCGCTATTTCTTGAAAAGTATGAGATGGATAATTCTGAAATTTCATATTTAGGTTTCTCTTGGACCTTATTCATGCATTGTTCATGTTAGGACTGATAAAAAAGACAAAATGGCTGACAGTTGGTTATTTTGAACTTGACTTGTACAGTTTATTATTGCTTTATCTTAAAAAGTATTTCCATTGATTATTGATAATTACATTAGTAATCTGTCAGTAAAACCTACATTGATTATTGATAATTACATTAGTAATCTGTCAGTAAAGCATACATTTAGAAAACATCTATGAAAATAAGGGAAAATATCCATTCTACAAAGATCATACAGTGATGGGTACTTAAATCCTTCTTGAATATTCTTTATTTGGGAGTGGCACTACTTATATAAGTCAACTTTTGGCTTGCAAGTCATTTGTAGAAACAACGAAAATTGAACCCAACGAAAATAAATGAATCCACAGTATGAAAATAAGGGAAAATATCCATTCTACAAAGATCATACAGTGATGGGTATTTTATATATAAGTCAACTTTTGGCTTGCAAGTCATTATTAATGGTGTTAAGTTGAAACAACAATGCTTTCCTCCCTAATGCATATAATGTTTCTCTATGTGTTCATCTATATGTAGTGGTAGAAAGATCGCACTCTTATGTCGCATGTATTTTTGATTTTGTTACTAACACCATACAATATGAATATGAAATTACATATTGTACTTAAGTGACTTAAGTTACCAAAGTTCAGCAATATTAAGCAAGAATTTCTATTTTTCTATGAGAACAGTAATGCTTTGATAATTATTGAAATACATGTATTTAATTTCATTTCATGCTGTTATCAATTTTAAGAAAATAAACTCTTGAAAGTCACATAATGTTACTTCAAATATTTTTCCTTGTGCAAGTTCTTTTGAAACCTTTGCTTTTGTCCCATCAAGTGACCAAAAAGTCCACAAGCTTCATGTTTGATTTATCTTTGTTGCATACAGGATGGAAGATGAGTTGTACTGGGAAGAGCGAAGACGATATGAAGACCAGGAATACTTTGAATGGCAGAGACAGGGTGGAAGGCCAGGAATGGGACCCCCAAGGCCATTCCTGCATGGGCCTGGTGGACCACATATGGTAAGAATAATAAATGACAGCTAGTAAATGTTCTGGTGATGTTTAACACAGAGGAGCTTTGAATGAAAAGGGACACTTGAGTCTCTTTAATAGGGTTAATTAATGTAATTTTGCATAGTTGTGGACTTCAGCATTGAATGTGCTGAATCTTTGTTAGCTATAAAGATGTAAAGGTATTGTCTGTCAAATTTTTTTACATAAGCATATCTCCTTTTCCTTAACTGGAAAACATGTAAAACCTGTAATGTACCAAGAACACTTAAGCAGTGTCAACATTGATAAATCTGTTATACTAGTCAGAAAAGATAACCATTCTTGCTGTGTTTATATAGTTCCAGCCTATGAGAAGACCAGATTCCTCAGATGATCGCCACGTAATGGCTAAACATGTTGCTATTTATCCAAATGAAGTAGAGGTAAACTGTTGTTTTTTATATACTTATATCTGAAAGAAATAAGATTTAGTTATGTCATTATACAACAGAACATTACCTAGATGTACGCGTGCATTGAACTAAAACATAGATATGTTTCTGTTTGTTTTAACTGATTTGAAACCGCAGAAGTATTTCTTGACAGCTGTCACTGATAGGGCTGGTGTTTTAAAATGAAATGTTTAAAGTAGAACTCTGAAAATAACACGGCATAAACTTTTTGATAACAAAAAGGAAGAGAACTAGGATAATTTGTATGGTTGATACACCAGTCTTACAATAGAGGTTAACAGAAAATTCCTACCAAGACTGCTTGCATTGATTATCTATTCAGCATGATTTGTATGTAAATGGAATTTCTTTCTTGTTTTTTATTTTTAGCTTCAAGCTGTTCAAAATATTGTATCTTTGTGTGAAAAGTCTTTAAAGCAAGTATCCGACTTCTTAACTGACAGGTGAGTTTGTATGATATTATGTATATTAATTTCTTGAATGCATCTAATGCAATGTTAGATGATTTCTTTCCTGTTCTACTGTTCATTAAGTTTCCCGTGTAAATAAATTGTGGAGTTGTAACAATTTTATTATTTGTTTACTGTATTATGTCTGTTACTTCTTCAGCATTAATCCAAAGAGCATGGATATAGATAAAGACGTAAAGAAAGAAGCTGATAGTAAGGAAGGGTAAGTAGATGACAGCACTGTAACTCAAGTTTGTAAATCTTGGAAAAGAGAAGGGAAAGGAAAATAGCTTTCAAACCTGCTCTAGTTATGAAATTATGAATGCAAACCGAGATGTCTTGTTTAAAACCCGAGATGTCTTGTAAAAACAGTAATATTGAAAATTGTTTCCTTTAAGTTTAAACATTTCAACTGCAGTTGAATTTTAATATAATTGTATGTACTTAATTTTGATATTTTGTTCTATTTTTGTTTTGCATTATTGTTCAGGGAGAAGAAAGAAGACCCAATGGCTAATCGTGTGTTGAAAGGTGTAATGCGAGTCGGAGTGTTGGCCAAGGGTCTGCTACTGCATGGTGATCTTAACGTACATCTGGTTGTCCTGTGTTCAGAAAAACCCACACGCACATTGCTAGAACGGGTTGCAGATGGTTTACCAAAGCAAATCGCAGTATGTTTGTTTTTCAATTTTGTATTGTGATGAATATTGAGAAAGTATAAACTTAAAAAACAGTATTTATACTGAAGTATATTTTCATCTTTTATCACATTTTATAATTGAAACATTAACCCTGTGCATGCTGGTATTAAAATACTTGTATCAGATAGAAATCAGTACAGAAATGATTTTGTTTCATTTATTCACTCGAAAATGATATGAAGAGAAGAAGTTCAATATACTTATCTAAAAACCAAGATTTTGTATTAAGGGCAGTTACTTGAACAAACATTCACTTTGCAGGCAGTGACAGAGGAAACATATGAAGTTAGACGATGTGTAGAGGAAGCTGCCATTATTGTAACAAATAACAAAGAACCAAAGACTACCTGTAGTATTACATTAACGTCACCGGTCATGCGGGAAGCTCAACTGGCAGATGGAGGTAAAAAAGAATGGCATTTCTAATGCTTTCAGTATATACATATAGTTCTACTCTAAAGCATCAAATCTTAAATGAACTCTTAAAGTATTGCTTCATGTTTTGAATCTGTTTGTGGAGTGGTCATGTTTTTTAGGAGGATACAGAAAATTTTAGTTTACTGTTTAAGTTAAATAATAATTGCACTGAAGATACTCTTTCTAGCATGATCATTCTACACTATACTGATCTATCCTAAATTATGAAGGAAAAAAAGGAATCATTACAGTACCATGTATTGCAAACTTGTAGCAAGTTGGAAGGCTTTACCATACATGAATGACAGTTTTGTGAACAGCAGATTGCCAAATAAATGCAAATGAAAAAAAAACACATTTGGAAATTCTCACATACAAGTATTCTTAATAAGGTTTTACTTGTATTGTTTAAATGTTTCATGATAACTCACATGTTTTCCTACCCTATTTCATATGCATAACATTTGGAAAGCCTTCTAGCCATCTCCTGCACAGGTATTCTGTCAGAGAATGACCAGGATCCATCACTGTTTATGGAAGGATTTTTGACCATGATGGCAGTACAAAATGTGGACTTCAGAGAATATTGGCCTTCCCTGCACCTAATCCCATTTTGTTTTTATGATTTGTTTAAAAAATTTCTTTTGTTTTTTCCTTTTGCTCATTCTGTCATTTTCACGTTCTCATTTGTGAAATACCAAAACTACCAATCGTGTTTGATAGCTGCATAATGATCATGTAATGTGTGTCTAGCTGGCTGGGCAGCTTTTATTAGACAAATTTATAAACAAAGTATTTAGATTTGATAAAACAGGATTCAAAATTGGCAATTTCGGACCTACTTGTTCATTTTTCGACCCATGTATACACATTTTGGGATTGGTTTCAGGAACTTAAAACCACTTATCAACTTCTACAGCATGCATACCCAAGATGTTAACTACCCATACAGTCTGTTGCCTTTTGCTTAAATATGTATCCTATTGAATCATATTTTGACACATATTTCCCTTCTTTACTTTGTCACTGATACTTTTTTACCTAAATCAGAAAACAATTTATGTTGCCTACCTTGTCAGCGAAAAGCTTACATTTTGGTAGCATCTTCTGTAACATTTTTTCTTCAATTGTGTTGCATGTATGTGTTTTGTGGGGGGAGGCTTATGTATACTTTGGGGTCCACTTTGACAGTCTGTGGCTACAGATTGTCTGTTGTAACTGTCATCTTTTCTGCCAATGGTCAAACACCCATTCCTGCTACACAACTGGTTCAATGTGTTAATACTACAGAGACATCTGCTACTGTAAGCGTCAAAGACCCACCGGATGTGTTGGATAGGCAGAAATGCCTCGATGCTCTTGCAGCCCTTCGCCATGCTAAATGGTTTCAGGTTCGAACCTTTTTATACTTACTTTGCAGCCTGATGGTCTGTTATTGTAATGCAGAAGACATTCTGTGTACCCTAAACTGCAGATTTGCACATATCAATGATCAATCTTTGAAATATAACTGAGGATGATATGGGAGCAAATCAGCATTGCATTGGTGTTGTTAAATACTTTGTCATTTGCCTTGTTCTTTTGGATTGGATAGTTAAGTTCAGGATCACGTTACAAATCAAAACGTTTAAACCCTTAGTCTGCTTCAATCACCATACAATGTTGGCCCTTGTTGCTAGGCAAATCCTCAAAGTATCTGTATCAGGAAGTGATAAGTCGTGTTGTAACTATAGAAAACTTGTTTCATCAAAATTTTCGCTACATGCTCCTGTTGAAGCAAGTAAATATGAAAGATTAGCTGGAGACCCCAACAAATACTTGTTCAAAAACATTTCCGAATGCATTGTGGTCAAAGCCAGTCAGGATGATCTGTGAATTCACTTCTCAATTTGTGATTTCGGTAAAACATAGAAGTTGGACAACTTAGTCAGCATTTATTACTAAATACACTCTCCTAATTTGAGTTCACATTTCTCTGAAATTGTGCAGAGTTTGGCCAATGGTCTTGAAACATGACTACATAGAAGCCTTACCTGAGAATCAGAGGAGAAGAGACGATGTCATAATTATTTTTTGTGTGTGAGCATCCTGTATTAAGTTATTTAAATTTCCACCTATGTTGTCATCTTCCTTCAACTACAGATCAGAATCTAAACCACAATACAAAACAGTTAAGAAGTAAGGAATAGAAAAGCAATAAATTTTATATATGTTATGATATAAATCAGCATTGAGTCAAGGGCCATATTTATTCAATACAATGCAGCAGCTTAAGAGTTTTTAATTTTTATTGTATCAAAGTCTTTCAAAATGACTGATATTTATAAGTCAGGAAGTATTTTTAATTTTTGAATATTTTTCTTATGCAATTTCTATATTGAGGTATATTTGGCAAAGTGTTCAAGCATCACCATTCTTCTGATTGAGCTCTAAGGTGGCATTGGGAAGGCAACTCTCATACCTTGAGTGGTGAATGAATGACAAGAGTGAATGAAATTTTGACATGTTTGCTGTTTACTGTGAACAATGATTGTTATCTGATGATAAATGAATCTTTAGTCTCAAAGCAAGGTCAAATGGATGCAGTAATGTAAGAATTCAACTGAAATTCTCAAATACTTCTCCCCCCGATTTCCAGAATTTATTGCAAGAATTATTTTCTCCTATCTTAAGTCATTTGCATAAGCAGTTCAGTATCAAGAAGTTTAAATAGAAATAAAGAAAGGTGTTTTACATTTTTTCTGTGTGATAACTGGGTATAAATGAAGAAGAGATAGTTGGTCATCTAATTTACAGTTGAAATATATTTAAACATTTGACATTGTTTGAATGTTCAAAATACATGAACACTCAGTTCAAATTGTTTCCTGGAAAAGGGAGATGTTATAGAATTTCATGTATTTGCTCTACAAAAAAAAAAATAATAATAAATAGATAAATAAGTAAATTATTAGATAAATGAATAAGATACCTGGAAACAAGATTGGACAGAGTGTTTTGCTTGAATTAAAATCTTTCTCCTGCACCTTACACAACAACTGATCAGGTAAGTAGGCTAACCCATGACACGGATTCATTTATGATGTACTTCATCTGTAAACAGCAGATTTTGATCGCATATATTCAATACTGTTAAGGCTCATTGGGAAATGCACTAAAAAGGTATGTGAGAAGGAAGCCTGGTGCTTATCTCTTCTTACAAGAGAATATTGGCATCCATTGTTTCTATTTTCCTGTATTTTTGGACAGGCAACAGGATTCCTTAAATTGACAGAAGTTTTATTTCCAACAACAAATATGTAGACTTGTTTTGCTTCTCAGATTTCTCTCTACATGAACACATTTTACAAGAATAACATCATCCAACACATCATTGAAAAGCAAAGTAACTCTCTAGAATTTGGATACAGTGAAATAAAACTTAATGAGAAAAATTCATGTTTCCACAGAACTGGTTGAAATGTGAATTGTCTTCTTAAATGAGAAGAGGGGATGGTAATAGTGTAAGGAACCCTTTTCACAGAAGAAAGATGTTTGACAAAGCATTTATTATGGTTTGATGTAATATTGACTATAAATGTTTGTAGATTTCTTTTCTGTGAAATGGGAGTCTTATTTTATCATATCAAGATAACACTGAAGATTGATCATAACAAGCATGTAGGATCCCTGATACATGAGGCTGGAAAGTTGTGAGGTCGTCGGCATGGTGTTGGTGTCACTGGCATGTGGACAATGCGTGTACAGTGTGCAGCACCCATGCCAATAAATCTTAGCGAACCTTATACAAATTAAACCAAGAAATATTCAAGAATCTGGAATAGAATTTAGAACATGAAACATGGTAGGTAAAGCATGATTCAAATATGTTGTGAATATATATTTTGGGAGTTTGAAATAGAGACATTTAAAGCAGGTTGTAAGGTTTTACCTTAGATGGTAAGGTCTTACATTTAAAATGACTCCAGATTCTTGAATAGGATTGCCTGAAAACTTTGTCTTATTTGGTTTTTCTCCCTGTTTGATTAAATAGGCTAGAGCAAATGGACTGCAGTCTTGTGTTGTTGTGATCCGAATTCTACGAGACCTTTGTCAACGTGTTCCAACATGGACACCTCTGAATGAATGGGTAAGCTTCTATTACCAACATGTTTACAGTAATGTATTCATGATCAAAATCAGACATAATGCAGCAGTATTTCAGACAGTTAATCCAAAACCAGACATAATGCAGCAGTATTTCAGACAATTAATCCAAAATCAGACATAATGCAGTAGTATTTCAGACAGTTAATCCAAAACCAGACATAATGCAGCAGTATTTCAGACAATTAATCCAAAACCAGGCATAATGCAGCAGTATTTCAGACAATTAATCCAAAACCAGACATAATGCAGCAGTTTTTCAGACAGTTAATCCAAAACCAGACATAATGCAGCAGTATTTCAGACAATTAATCCAAAACCAGACATAATGCAGCAGTATTTCATATATCAAAAACCAGACATAATGCAGCAGTATTTCAGACAATTAATCCAAAACCAGACATATTGCAGAAGTGTCTCGGATGATTAATCCAAAATCAGACATAATGCAGCAGTATTTCAGACAATTAATCCAAAACCAGACATATTGCAGAAGTGTCTCGGATGATTAATCCAAAATCAGACATAATGCAGCAGTATTTCAGACAATTAATCCAAAACCAGGCATAATGCATAATGCAGCAGTATTTCAGACAATTAATCCAAAACCAGGCATAATGCAGCAGTATTTCAGACAATTAATCCAAAACCAGACATAATGCAGCAGTATTTCAGACAATTAATCCAAAATCAGACATAATGCAGCAGTATTTCAGACAATTAATCCAAAACCAGACATATTGCAGAAGTGTCTCGGATGATTAATCCAAAATCAGACATAATGCAGCAGTATTTCAGACAATTAATCCGAAATCAGACATAATGCAGCAGTATTTCAGACAATTAATCCAAAACCAGACATAATGCAGAACGGATGATCAATCCAAAATCAGACATAATGCAGCAGTATTTCAGACAATTAATCCGAAATCAGACATAATGCAGCAGTATTTCAGACAATTAATCCAAAATCAGACATAATGCAGAAGTATCTCAGACAATTAATCCAAAATCAGACATAATGCAGCAGTGTCTCAGATGATTAATCCGAAATCAGACATAATGCAGCAGTATCTCAGATGATTAATCCGAAATCAAACATAATGCAGCAGTATCTCTTTGTCAACATTTGTATTATCGTCAACATATCATACTGATTTTCTGGCTAGGTATAAGTACTGTTGTTGAATTATTTCATTGATAGATATATATGCTATCTTCAAAATTGTCTTGTTGACTTATGGCTTAACCAATAAAGTATTTATACTGAAGTCCTTATGATCAAACTATGTTCAATGTCCACTTCTATAAAGCAAATGACTCTAAATTTTCCACTTCTGTTTGATGAATGTTGATAAAGCTTTTGATGATATTTACTTGTCAGTATTAAATGATACAACATAGAAATTTGTTTGAGTATTTTTGACATTATATATGAAAATATATCTACATAGGCAATGGAGTTACTAGTGGAAAAGTGTGTGAGTAGTGGAGGTGCCAAGATGAGCCCTGGAGATGCTTTACGGAGAGTCTTTGAATGTTTAGCATCCGGGTTACTCCTTCCAGGTATGTCAACACTGTTACAAACTTCCTTTCCCTTAAAATTTGTATAGTTTTTTTTCCTGTATAATGAAATGCTGTAAAAATGTGGCTTTGGTGTAAATTTTGTATAGATATGAAAGCGAGATTGCCGAAAAAAAGTATGTAAGAAGTGGAATAGGGGCTGTGATCGACCAGTCAGCAAAGCATCAGACATTTCAATCACAATGAAGATTGAAAGTGTGGTTTGATGTTCCCTGCAGGGGAGTAGTGTGTTTGTGGAGGTTGGGATATTGTTTCTCATGCAGCTAAGATCATGAATCCAATGCTGTTGTGGTTGTATCATGGAGCAAGATACTTTACACCAGTATAGTCAGGCCGTCTCTGAATTGTTCTGCATGGTAATCATCAGCTACTGCATAGTCACTGCTTAAAATTGACACTGGCTGTTCATGGAATGATGTTATGGATCCAATAGGGGTAAAGAAGATGAACTAAGGAAATTTGTATCCAATTCCATTGTTACAGGTGGACCAGGATTGTATGATCCCTGTGAAAAGGATCCAGCTGATGCAGCAGCATCACTTACACCCCAAGAGAGGGAAGACATCACAGCATCAGCTCAGGTTAGTCAACAAATATTCTCTAAAGGCCCTGAGATCTGGTAGATCAAATACTGGTTTTAACTAGCATAGATCTAATACTGTTTCTGGTCATTTGGTCATGTTGAGGTAGATCACAAAATATTGATACTAGGATTAACTAGGGTAAATCTAATACTGTTTCTGGTCATTTGGTCATGTTGAGGTAGATCACAAAATATTGATACTAGGATTAACTAGGGTAAATCTAAGACTGTATCTGGTCATTTGGTCATGTTGAGGTAGATCACAAAATATTGATACTAGGATTAACTAGGGTAAATCTAAGACTCTATCTGGTCATTTGGGAACATGGACCTACATTACAGCAACTCATTTTGTGAGCTATAATGGACTGACTGTTAAAAATTGTCATTGATTATCTTTTTGCCTAATTCTGTAAATAGTCCGTTCATGAGCTGAAGTAGGTTTGGAATAGTGTTAATGATCTGGTCAGATGTTCTGAAGTATCATTTTGTTACACAGCATGCTCTAAGGCTGATAGCATTCCGACAAATCCACAAAGTGCTGGGTATGGACCAGTTGCCAGCACCAAAATTCCAACGACAGAGGATGAATCCTCGCAAACGAAGGAGAATGGACAGTGCTACAGGAGAAGGGGATGAAGGTAAGCTAAGAGTCATTATGAAGATGTTTCAAACAGAAGCTCAGAGTACTAGTAAACAGGTCATTTTTCTTGATACCGGAAATTGGACACAAAATTGTAGTGTTATGTGAATATACAATTTGTAGGGGCAGGATTTGTAATGCTTAAGTTGATACTGGTGGGAAAAAGTCATGATTGTGTCTTGTTAGTCCTTTGCTTTAAGATGATCTGTTTTTAATGCCATGTTTTCATTTGAAATGATGATGCTTCTATTTGGTAACACCTTGCCTTTTTATAGGGAGTATATAGTGTTGCTGATGATAGAAATCTAGACAAGAAAAAAAAGTCTTATTTGTAATTTTTTATTCTCTCCTATAACATGAAATAATTCAATATTTTTTATACTTTTTACATCTGTATTATGATTAAATGTTTACATATCAATGACCTATTTCCAACAGTTGGAGAGAAGAAAGACAAAAAGGATGAAGATCAAGTTATGGAAACCGCTGATGGAAAACAATAAAAAGTGTGTTCTGTGTGAGGAGCGAGAATCTGATACAAATTATAATTCATACAAGAACAGCATTTAATATTGAAAGGATTTAATAGTTTATGGCCATACATTGCTCAATAATATTAGCATTGTGTTCTTTGATGAAGATTCCATATGGATATGTCCTCTCAAGGAAGGCCTTGAAAAAAGGAACTCTTGACAGAGATAGAATGGTGAAAAATCCTGTGGTACGATAGACTACTTGTTACAAAAGGAGACTGATGTATACATAAGCGTGTGATAAAAATGTGTTCATATTTGCTTTTTCTGTTATAGGACTCCTCACTCTAACTTCTATTTTAGCTTATCAACATAAAATGTCTCTTGATGTTGTGATATTTTTCATTACTGTTTTTTGTTACTGTTTCTGTTACACTTTTATCTCCTAAATCATGTTTAAATTTTCACATGGTTACTTTCATTTTAGAAAAACGGCATTGTATTATTGGTACTGTTGAAAACATATTCTGCAAATCAAAACCTTCGGTTTCTATGTTTCATTTCCCATCATTTTTAACATGTTATCTCTTCTGTAGTATGTAAATATATTTTGATCTTTGACTTTATGCTTTTTAATAACATTGTCCTTGATTTCCTTCTATTCGAATTTCTAAATTTAGTCATCAATTTGCATGCAGCTGCTAGTCTTCATATTCAATCGCTATATTCATAATATGATAGGTTTTGCGGTGAACAGGAAGGTCATTGTTACCCAATACAAGTATACTAATACATAGTCTGTCTGCCTCGTCGAAGTATTTGTAGTATATTGTGAGGTTTAATTGGGAACTAAATGCAGGTGTGTTATTTTGTCAGTATTTACATGTGTCAGTGTATGATACGGTGTGGAGTTCAGTCCCTTGATGTAGGATAACTGGTTTTTACTGATTGCTTCTGTACATGTATCTGTATCAGGTGCATATACAGACTTTTATCATTTATTATGTATTTTTCTGCAACAAAAATGATTGTTGTGCTGTGTCCAGAAAGGACATCATGTGACAAATGCACACACATTGATATATTGACACCGAGCAATTAAAACACCACTGGTACCTGGCTAATTGTAGTCAGAATGTTGTGTACCATTTATAGTCAAATATATTGTGTACTTATTATGCCAAGAATGTTTATTGGTAAAAAATAGATCAATAAATATCTTGTGTGTATCTTGTGTGATGAGTTGTTTATTGTTTCAGGATATCAACATATCTACATACATCATTGACAGTGAAATTGAAAGAGTTTGTCCTGTTATACCGTCACGATAAGAAATTGAAATAAGGTAATCCTACTTCTGTGAAATATGAAACATCACTAAAGAAAAGTCTCAATGCAGAAGTTATGTCCAGATCTTGTTGTTGTAGATGGGATGTTGCTTATGCTAGAGATTATTGATTATTACTTGCCAAGCAAGCTTTCCAACAATCCTGATTTTAATAGGCATTGTAACACTGAAAATGTGTGCCTAGCTCAATTTCTTTACATGATAATGTTTATTCAATTTCCAAAGATCAAAAATGGGACTCAGTGGGTAGTTTGCCAAGGTAACCATGGGCATAACCTCTGAGGAGGACCACCCTTGGTGGGATGTATTTCTCAAGGAACTGAGAATGGACCAGTCTGTGATGTGGTTGTGTCCTGTAACAAGACACCACCCTAATTGATCTGAATGACATTCTACACTCCATTTCCATCATTTTAAGACTATCTTCTACAAACATCATTTATGTTGAATATTGGTGTTTATGTTTAATTACCAATTATTTCATGTCTTCATTCTGTCTGTTGTTAAATATTGTTTCAGTACAAAACGTTAAAATGAATTATATTTTTCTGGTTCACAAATAAAGACCGTCATATGATTTTGTGTTTTATTCATGAAATCAAGAGAGCTCATGCATCCCCTTCACATTCAAGACTATAAACCGTATGATTTCAATTACATTCTAGTAGGCATTTTGAAGCATTCTACCAAAGGAATGAAGGAGCTATTGTAGTTACATTTGGAAAAAAACTGTTTCATTCATATACTAATACACATTTTCCAAACAAATTGGTGGTATACAAGAAATACAAATCATCTGAAGATCACCAACAAAGTCAATTGTTTTACAAGAAATCATTTTATTTGTGGTACAATGAGTTGGCGACAAGAATGATGGAAATGACAAGGGAGAGAACCTGTACAGCTCTATATGATGGAAGTAGTGGCAGAATTATAGTAAAACGTGGCCCTGCGTAACAATATTTCGTAATGATCAATTCACTAGATTTAATTTTGCTATTTGATTAATCAGTTACATGTGCTAATTGAAATCAGAAGCAACACACTTGCACCATAAATAGGATATCGGGTTATGAAATCCAATTATGTTACCAGATTATGAACTCAACAGCAGTAGTTATAGAGCTTTTCTAGAAAATTTGACATTATAGTAAATAACCCTTGTGTTTTGATAATACTAGGGTAAGTACAGTAGTCGTTTGTAATAAATGTCTAATTTGTTTAACAGATACGTGTTCACATTTCAATACAACATCCACTTACAAATTCTGTTCTCACTGGACATTCCTATCCATCGTCCTGATTCTAGGTAAATGCACATTTAATGTTCGAATTTTAGCTATCATTTGTTGTTCTTTTGACTTCAGTTTTACAAGGTATTGTTAAAGTTCAAAGTTTGTTTTCAACATAGAATTGGTTTTGTCCTCTTGAACGTTCCCTTTACTTTGGATTATACTCCTCTGGTTGGTAATGTCAATAGAAGTTCATATGGCACAACCGGTAGAAAATTGGATGTGTGGCGTCACCTTCATCAGACAAATGACCTCGTCACACTATTTACGACCTTAGTGATCACAGGATTATAGTACAGCCGGGATTCCTTACCAACTCGCGCACTATGTGCGTTAGTTCTAGTACGCTCCACACAGATCATTTTTCTGATGAAGGTGACCGCGTAGTCAACAAAACGTCACACTCAATCTTCTACTGGTTGTGTTATAAGAACTTCTATTTTATGTTTTCTTTATGTTAAGCCATTTTACGATAAATTGATCTGGTAAACTTTATTTTACACCAAGTTCCAAATAGTCTCTGTTAAGCCTGCACGTTTTCTTATACATCAAGAAAAAAAAAACTCGTTTCTGTAATTACATCATAATCATTCTTTAACATCTGTAAATGAAGTATTAAGTTATAACATAATGATGGACAGATCGTTATTTGTTATTTGTCTATATCTAAAAGACTCCAAACAAATTCAGCGCATTCCTGAAATCTATAAATGAAAAATAAATATAAAAAACAGGCATTTAGAATGAAAAATGAAAAAAAATGCCAGTGGTAGCTTTTTTTCTGATTCTGAAACCAGTCTGGCACTAGTTTGAGAGTGATATCACCGACCACCCTGTTTAATCTATTAGTAAGTATTGATATAAAAACACCGGCATGACATGAAACGAGACTTCTTGCTCAGTAATATTTAAATTTAGGTTAGACAACACCTATCTTCCAATAATCAGGTACATTACCTGTATTAAGTATAACATCAAATAAGCAATATATATAGGACATTAAAGGAACTTTCATTTCACGGAACAGGTCTTCGAGGATATTTTTGCGAGCCTTGACGAGCAAAAATTAAGACTTTGAGACGGACTTTCATAAAATCTTCCATGAAACGAAAACAAATTGAAGATATTTTTATCAGATAACTCAGTAAAATTACATCATGACTGATTTTAAAGTTGGTTTTGAGGACAAAACCAAACGGAGACCACCATTATGGTTCGTCATTTTCAGCCCTTTGTTCATATTATGACATCACAATCATTTGTGAATTGCACAGCCAATGAAAAACGATCCATGATATATTATACTAGTGACACGTGCACAAAATATTGTTGATTTCGCTAGATTACCGGCGGATTGGATGATGAAAACGGTTTACATTCATTCATGATTCCATCAAATTCTGTAGAACATTAACCCTGACTAAATAAATAAATGATGGATGCAACTATGGCTGCCAAATAATGAACGACGACATTAAATGCTATTTACAAGTGGAAAACTATTATCCAAATTAGACTAAAACTAGCATAGACCTGTTTCGTGTATATACATATTGTACCTGTGTCAGGAAAGGGGCGATTGGGAGTGTATTAGACCCATCGTCGGTTCCCCCACCCCAGACAAAGACGGTATGGTAACAATTAAGTTTTACATGATGATTACCCTTTTACTTGATCAAACTTCTTAATTAAGATATAAATTATGTGTAATTCTGTAAACTGTACCAGGTAATTTGTCTTTAAGTCGGTACGTAATGTAACCTGGATTATAATGATGCGCATTCAACAGGTACATTACATTATTATTAATGGATACTTCTAATAAAGACGGTAACTTTAGTTTATTATTAATGGCTATTTGACGCCATTCTAATCATCCTAGTAACTCAAATATTATTTCAATACATCCAGATAACATGTTTGAAATTTCATGCTTAATAAGAGTCTTAAATTCTTACTGATCACGGAGCTAACGGTAATATCTACTATAACGATCTCAGGAGAGTTGTTTAACATCAACATACTGCAGGTTTTTAAATCAGCATTATCAATATACTGGGAAATGCCCTTCGTTATTGATATATTATGGTATACATGTAGTTTTAATAATGAGCTGCTCCGGTGTTTAGATTTAATTGGAGTGAAAACATAACTTATGAATATATTTTGCTGGAAATGAAACAACTCCCTTGCGTCCTGAACGAAGCCTGCTAAGTCCTGGACAAATAAGCTGATGATTTCCCTGTCTGTTTAAAATCGTAAGACTAAACACGAATTGAGAACACACACGAACAAAACATAGGAGTGAAATAAATAATGATATTAATACACACAATAATTTAATGATCGTATCACAGGTTTCTGACACCACACAGAGCAGTGTCTCTGAATGTTTCGTATAATCCACCAAGCTAAACCTTAATTAAATATCTTAAAGCTTTTGTTGAAAAGTTTGAAGCTAGAACTGTTTTTCTTGGTAGGTCCCTTTTCATCCTTTTTGTCAGGCCCAGCTCGAGGTGATTTCGGTCGCCTCTGGGCGGCATGGAATTTTTCTTCAGAAATGAACAAAGGTTGAAAGTTCATGTGGCGATCTCCTTTTTCACGTTGTATCTCATGTATGATCCCATGGAAAACATCCTCTACGTATTCGAACTCCTCAGCTGCCGTCGTCTCGAAAAACAGACTCTCAAACTCTTGTGCTAGCGAGTTTCCTTCCACTTTACTTATTTGCCTAAAATATTATTGAAATATAGAAATGTAAGTAGATGAATTAGAATACTGAGGTGAAGAAATTATACACCAACATTATACCATAGAAAACAAAAGGAAGATATCACTGTTGAGAATCTGAGATCTCTCTAAGACCACTATAACTGTAAGAAGTACACTGGTATTATCATTTCAATCGATCAGAAATAGATGTTTTTTCAGATAAAAATATATTCATGCCATGTTTCTACAGGGGCAAAGATGCCTTCTTGAGTAACTGTTGGCGAGGTCGACCTACCACAGACCAGACCAGACACATCTGTTTCGAAGCTATCCACTAACGAAATGTTCATCAACAACCGTATGTAATCGGTAGATATAAACACAAACACCACATCTTTATCGGATACCAGACAACCATCGAAAGCAGGGCAACATTTTCACTCACAAAGTACAGCTGTCTACGAAATCTTGAAATCGTCAAACAGAAAGTTCAACTGAACCTTTCGAAGTGTCTTTATTTGAATACTAAAATTATTAAGTGTATTTGATAACCATTTGGTTCCTAAAAAGCCAGAGGGCAACATATCAACCGCGGAAAAGTGTCGAACGACAATGAGGCAGAATACAACATTGTGGCTGAACATCAGATAGGACTTCATAGACTTAAACTTGGTATCACCTAATCAGTACCGTGTGAAGAGGCAGGGCATCATACCCTTACACTAGACATTGGTACCACCTAATCAGTTCCGTGTGAAGAGACAGGACATCATACACTTACACTAGTACCACCTAATCAGTACCGTGTGAAGAGACAGGACATAATACACTTACACTAGACATTGGTACCACCTAATCAGTACCGTGTGAAGAGGCAGGCATCATACACTGAACATCAGATAGGACTTCATAGACTTAAACTTGGTATCACCTAACAGTTCCGTGTGAAGAGACAGGACATCATACACTTACACTAGACATTGGTACCACCTAATCAGTACCGTGTGAAGAGGCAGGGCATCATACACTTACACTAGACATTGGTACCACCTAATCAGTACCGTGTGAAGAGGCAGGACATCATACACTTACACTAGTACCACCTAATCAGTACCGTGTGAAGAGACAGGACATCATACACTTACACTAGACATTGGAACCACCTAATCAGTACCGTGTGAAGAGACAGGACATCATACACTTACACTAGACATTGGAACCACCTAATCAGTACCGTGTGAAGAGACAGGACATCATACACTTACACTTACACTAGTACCACCTAATCAGTACCGTGTGAAGAGGCAGGGCATCATACACTTACACTAGACATTGGTACCACCTAATCAGTACCGTGTGAAGAGGCAGGGCATCATACACTTACACTAGACATTGGTACCACCTAATCAGTACCGTGTGAAGAGACAGGACATCATACACTTACACTAGACATTGGTACCACCTAATCAGTACCGTGTGAAGAGACAGGACATCATACACTTACACTTACACTAGTACCACCTAATCAGTACCGTGTGAAGAGGCAGGCATCATACACTTACACTTACACTAGTACCACCTAATCAGTACCGTGTGAAGAGACAGGACATCATACACTTACACTAGACATTGGTACCACCTAATCAGTACCGTGTGAAGAGACAGGACATCATACACTTACACTAGACATTGGTACCACCTAATCTGTACCGTGTGAAGAGGCAGGCATCATACACTTACACTAGACATTGGTACCACCTAATCAGTACCTTGTGAAGAGGCAGGGCATCATACACTGAACATCAGATAGGACTTCATAGACTTAAACTTGGTATCACCTAACAGTTCCGTGTGAAGAGACAGGACATCATACACTTACACTAGACATTGGTACCACCTAATCAGTACCGTGTGAAGAGGCAGGCATCATACACTGAACATCAGATAGGACTTCATAGACTTAAACTTGGTATCACCTAACAGTTCCGTGTGAAGAGACAGGACATCATACACTTACACTAGACATTGGTACCACCTAATCAGTACCGTGTGAAGAGGCAGGCATCATACACTGAACATCAGATAGGACTTCATAGACTTAAACTTGGTATCACCTAACAGTTCCGTGTGAAAGAGACATTGGACATCACCGTGTACACTTACACTAGACATTGGTACCACCTAATCAGTACCGTGTGAAGAGACAGGACATCATACACTTACACTAGACATTGGTACCACCTAATCAGTACCGTGTGAAGAGACAGGACATCATACACTTACACTAGACATTGGTACCACCTAATCAGTACCGTGTGAAGAGACAGGACATCATACTGAACTTACACATAGACATTGGTATCACCTAATCAGTACCGTGTGAAGAGACAGGACATCATACACTTACACTAGACATTGGTACCACCTAATCAGTACCGTGTGAAGAGGCAGGAATCATACACTTAACAAAAGATAGGACTACATAGACTGAAACTTGGTATCACCTAACAGTACCGTGTGAAGAGACAGGACATCATACACTTACACTAGACATTGGTACCACCTAATCAGTACCGTGTGAAGAGACAGGACATCATACACTTACACTTACACTAGTACCACCTAATCAGTACCGTGTGAAGAGGCAGGCATCATACACTTACACTAGAACTTAGTTACCTTACCAGTACCGTGTGAAAAGACAGGAAACTATAATTTACACTAGACATTGATACCACTTTAACAGTAACCTGTGAAGAGACAGTACACCATAACTTTTGCCAGCACCGTGTGAAAAGATAGGATATCAAAAATAAACTACTATACATCTTACAAGGAAGACATTGTTGCTCCATCAAGACTTTTTTGCAAACTTGAAAGCATATCATTAGTACTTGCACTATACAAAAATCAATATTCCGCACGTATTGTTTGCATGCTACAGGCCTTGTATCAAGAACCTTGACCTTTCGCTTATCGAGAAAAAGTTACTTCAGTATTTCAACACATTTGATCCCTGTGACCTTGAAAGCGGGTCAATGTCATTCATATTAAGTAGGGGTCGAGTCAACTCTCGGAATCTAAGAAATAATTTTCCACTCTCAATGATGTTTCACACCAAATTTGGATGAAATCCATTCAAGCTTTAAGAAGAAGTTCCTTGGGTCGAATCAGATTTCGGAATCAAGGAAATGATTTTCCATTCTCAATGATGTTTCATATCAAATTTGGTTGAAATCCATTCAAGCATTAAGAAGGAGTAGCGTTTTGAAGTAAAGCATTTGGGTCAGATGACCTAAACAGGCATCCTAAAATCTGAATGAAACGTCATTTCACACCCTGCAACCAAAATACATATTGTGACGCGACAATGTCTTTGCAAACTCCACCTGAGTAAAAATCAGATTTTAATTATAGACGAATGTATCTATGATCTGGCTCAGATACACCAACAGCTAAAACTTGCCATAGATTCAGTGCTAAAGCAAAATTCAACATTTTTGAGGAAAACACTTATCTTTTTTTAACCATTTTTGTCTTCAAAATCAAGAAATATCCGAGTTTAATGTCAATATATATTCAACAGTTAAAATCAGAATTTGTATACATACTGCATGACATAATTAATATTTTATAATACGTACCGATACCGTTCGAGATCGATTTTGTTTCCAACCAGAGCTACAGGCGAATCTCTCGAGTTAGCCTTGAGGTATTGTGTGACACTTTCTAAATATTCCCGCGCTTTATCAAAACTTTGTCGACTCGTGATCCCGTACACCACCATGAAGCCGTCTGCCCATCGAAGATACCGCAAGGGGTCGCTGTCCTCCTAGCGGTAAAACAAACAACTAAATTGTTTTAGACTGTTATTCTAGAATTTTTCGGTGTTTTACCAATTGTTACTGTCTCTTCCACTTTATGAATGTGATAATACAATTTGTTTTCCGAAAAAGACTAGTGTTAATTCTGGTATTTATTTGTACCAAATGTAGATAAATAATTTCGTGATGGAATGGTCTTGAGTTAACGGTGTTATTTTATCCCACTTTTATTGAATTTGAATTGTATAATCATTCTACTGACATCTTGATATTTTCGTTGTTGTTTTAAAACAATTCGAAGTATGTTCCAGAACTTAAAAAAAATCAAAATTCTACTATGGACTTTTTTCCAGTTAAATGATTTAAAAGTTCACAAAAATGGGGCATATCTTTTAGGCTGTTTCCATTTCTAAGGCTTTGCTTGGTACGTTCGCCATGGCATGTAAGGTTAAAAGATCGATTCTATTAAGACTAGTTACAGCCATAGATTCGTCTCTATGTGTACGTCTGTTACTTGAGTTACTAGAACCCGTAGCATTTCAGAAGTAGGTCTATTCATAGCCGCTGAAAAAGTTCATGTATCAACAAGTCCTTAGTGAAAACATATTATTTAATCATTCTGAGGACGTGGAACTTCAAAAACAAAGAATTTCAACATGAATACTTTTAACATGAACATTACAAATGGCGATGAAATTGACAGAATGCTCGTAAATACCAAATTCAAAACATAATTTTTCTAAACAATAACCCCATTTCTAGAAATACAATATAATACTTTAACAGTTTATAACAGTGTGTTATAATAATCAATTTAACGGTAACAGCTTTAGTCAAAATGATCACCTCTAAGTTTAAAAAGACTTTCAAATCCAGTCGGAATATCGAGCGCATTTATCGTAAAACACAAATTTTAGGTAAAGGACTGCGTTATATTTGATACGTGTAACGAGATTTTGTTGTCTGATTATTATGCAGCAACCTCATTGCCGCTCGGTTATGAAACTGAATCAGTCCGAGATTCGGATATCCTCACATGTGACCCCAAACTTTGAAAAAAGAGGAAGTATGCGGGGAAGTGGATCTGTGGATGGGTAGTTTAACTGGCTACATTCTCAATGTCATAGGTTCGAATCCCGAATTAGCCCCGCTGTATTAATTGCTACAAATAAACAATGATATGACATCAATGCTATGATAGGTCTTAATCCCGTATTTACTCACTAGTATTACGTACCTTGTCGTAAGTATCCATGACATGAATGCACATTTCCGTTCCGTCTATGTCCTCATGCTTGGTGTATGTGTCCTCTGTAACAAAGATTTCAAAGATTAACTAGTGTGGTGCATTGCGAATTATTCTTGTTGTAAGGAAGTTGGGATTATAGACTAATACAACTTTTGTAACAATAGGATGTTTGGAGTAGCGATAAAAACCGAGGGGCCCTGACTACATGGATGTATTGATGTTCCGAGTACGGATCCTAGACTAATGTATAATGGTGTCCTGAGTACAAGATCACATACGATATGGTTATTGGTGTCCCGAGTATGGGATTCTTGACTACATTACCACTGGTGTCTCAAATGCGAATCCCATTGGACGAAGTTCTATACTACATGGTATTCATGTCCCGAGTTAGAGGCTCTAGACTGCATGGGTATTGATATCACAAGAATGGGGTCCTGGAATACATGTGTATGTCCTAGACGACATGGAAATTTGGTGTCCCGAGTACGGGTTCCTAGATGACATGGATATTGGTGTACCGAGTACGGGGTCCTAGACGACATGGAAATTGGTGTTCCGAGTACGGGGTCCTAGACGACATGGATATTGGTGTCCCGAGTACGGGGTCCTAGACGACATGGATATTGGTGTCCCGAGTACGGGGTCCTAGACGATATGGATATTGGTGTCCCGAGTACGGGGTCCTAGACGACATGGATATTGGTGTCCCGAGTACAGGGTCCTAGACGACATGGATATTGACGTTCAATGTTACATCAGTATGGATGACGCGAGGACAGTGTTTTTGACTACATGGATATTGATGTACCTGATACAGAGGCGTAGACTACATGAACACTGTTGTCACGATGGTGGATCCCTACACAACATGTACACTGTTGTCACGATGGTGGATCCCTACACAACATGTACACTGGTGTCACGATGGTGGGGCCCTACACCTACACAACATGAACACTGGTGTCCCGAAGGTGGGGCCCTACACAACATGAACACTGTTGTCACGATGGTGGAGCCCTACACAACATGTACACTGTTGTCCCGATGGTGGAGCCCTACACAACATGTACACTGGTGTCACGATGGTGGGGCCCTACACAACATGTACACTGTTGTCACTATGGTGGGGCCTACACAACATGTACACTGGTGTCACTATGGTGGGGCCCTACACAACATGAACACTATTGTCACGATGGTGGGGCCCTACACAACATGTATACTGATTGTCTCGATGGTGGGGTCCTACACAACATGAACACTGGTGTCCCGATGGTGGGGCCCTACACAACATGTACACTGGTGTCACTATGGTGGAGCCCTACACAACATGTACACTCGTGTCACGATGGTGGGGCCCTACACAAAATGTACACTGTTGTCACGATGGTGGGGCCCTACACAAAATGTACACTGTTGTCACGATGGTGGGGCCCTTCACAACATGTACACTGGTGTCACTATGGTGGGGCCCTACACAACATGAACACTGATTGTCTCGATAGTGGAGCCCTACACAACATGTACACTGTTGTCCCGATGGTGGAGCCCTACACAACATGTACACTGGTGTCACGATGGTGGGGCCCTACACAACATGTACACTGTTGTCACTATGGTGGGGCCTACACAACATGTACACTGGTGTCACTATGGTGGGGCCCTACACAACATGAACACTATTGTCACGATGGTGGGGCACTACACAACATGTACACTGATTGTCTCGATGGTGGGGTCCTACACAACATGAACACTGGTGTCCCGATGGTGGGGACCTACACAACATGTACACTGGTTTCCGGAGTATAAGGTCCTTGACTACATGAACACTGATGTCCCGATTAACAAATTTTCGTTTTCGTCACAAATATTTCATATATTATATACAATCCGAGCTTCAATACAATATTCGGTTATCAATTTCTTATACCTTACATACAGTGTTCAGAAATCAATAAAAAGGATAGTTTATAGGTAAGAAAATCCTTAGTTACCTATGTTAGGATCATACTCCATGATGAATCGTCTGGTTATGTACTTCACTGTTAAAGCTGCAATGGAGAGAACACGGGTATTAGGCATATATTACTGAGGAACACAACAACATATACATATGTATCTACACATATCAACAAAACCTTAAAGGGCTCTTTTGTTAACTACTACATGAACATTTCCACAAGAAATGACATTCATAGAGCTATGAATCAGCGTTATTTTTGCATTTTTAATCTCACATCCTATAACAAGAATTAATGATAAGACACATTACAGAAGTTTCCAACTAAGTTTGAACTACGTAACTATGTCCATGCTCCAAGGTCACTGCGTCCATACTCCAAGGTCACTACGTCCATACTCCAAGGTCATACTAATGTCATTGGTCATACCATACATATCTTTTAACGATACCACCTTTGGTCACTTGATGTACTTCACATTTCAGTAACATAACTTCTTAATAAAGAAATGTTTATCCCTATCGTACCAATCAGACGTAAATGTGACCATTTTGGGCCACCGAAGAAACCGAAGAATATCTTGTAACTTTACAAGGTGATTCTAATGCACATACAAGTGTATATTTTCTGTAATTCAGCGCATTGTTCAATCCTAATACTGACAATGACAATGTATTATAGATAATGTTGAATCATACACTCTTATAGAAAAGCTTATTTCATCGTACACTTGTAATTAATGTAAAGTTTGTAATAAGTGGAGCTGTAGTTAAACTCGCACGTGCACCATGTACATGATACAGTTCGTGCGAGTTGATACAAAAGATAATGTCATGGCTTGTTGTCCTTTAGGTTCGTAAACGTCCTTGAAGTCAGGTTTGGCAGAGAATAGGAGTTATGAATTTCCAGCTTATCTCTAGGGAAACCACACGTCAGTAAAGGTCGCCAGTACTCTGGCTAGCCTTGAAGACTTGTTATCTTTAATTGTAGTTTTAACATTTATAGCTGTGTTGCCACACGTGTAATATTCTGTTGCACAGACGGTGTAAGCGTTGTACGTGTATTGTATTACACACGTATCTGATTAACTGTGGAATCACGTGTTAGAGAGTTTGAGTAATTTTATCTGTTATATTGAGCAACTGACAGTTCGTGCCGATTAGTTTTGTTTCTATATTAAAATTGTTAGTTACCAGGTTCAAGAAAGATATATTTCTGCCCCGTTCCGATATCTCTAAAAGATACTTCCCGTGTATTTATACAAGTCTCAGACGACTATGTGCCGGAATCTGACGATTAATGGGGGAACATAAATCGAGACTATTTTAGCTAAACGTCTCTCCTCGAAGTCGGCGGGGGTCCACTGCCTTTATCACCATGTATCAGATACAAGCACCATTTGTAGACTTCCGAAAAGTTTGATATGATCTCTGTGTTAGAAAAAAGATCAGAATGTATGGTTAACTACCCTGTGTTGTGATACATTAGCGTGGGATTGTATTGATGTTACTGTGATAATCTAAGATACCAATTTAGTCCAATACCTCAAGCAAATAAGTTAAAAAAAAAACCAAATAAATATTATTCTTTTTTTTTCTCATATTCGTTATGTGTAATGTTGTTGGTAAACTTTAGAATACTGGGATGGAAGTCCTAGTATATTGCTATATTTTTTCAGTATTTGAATAATATACTAGATATGTTATTTTATGTGACTGTATATTTTTCGTTCGGAAAATGATTATTTCATATTCAATTATTCCAAACTTTGTGAAAAGAAGTGAAATATATTATCTTGAAAGATTGGGTCATCCTTGACACTATGTTGAACTGCTCTGTTAAATTTTCGCTGTTGTCATTGTTTTAAAATCAGTTTATCTTCGCGATGACATGTTTTAGTGAATCAAACAGGTATTAATTATTTCTAACAACTGTTCCGAGAGGCGAGCTCCGCGTAAATAACTCCCTCGCGAAAACTGATTGGTTTACAGTGTTAATCATGTCCAATCGTCCCGGCACCAAAGTAGTTCACGCACGGTCGCCATTCTCTACCAGGCACCGCCATGCTTTTTGTGTGAAATTAACTAGCAACGGGGAATTTTGGTCACCTTGGTGGTGAGCGAGACCGAAGGGTACGGTTTCTTCGAAGCGACAAATAGATATTGAACATTTGTAGCTCATAGGTACAATTCGATATCCAGACTTTTATATTTTGTGGATTTTGTCCACTCTGATATTTCATTCAAATCTTCCTTTAAAATATTTTGTATTTTGTAAGTAACCTTTGTATTCGGCTATCACTTACTCTACACCCGAAACAACCCCCCCCCCCCCCCCCCCCAAAAAAAAAAAAAAAAAAAATGAACACAAAGAAATCTTGAAATCAAGCACCTCTGAAAATTGTTCAACTCTAATTGAAAAGAAGTAGAAATCAAACACTATACTTGGTATTAAATATTTTTTTCGGCAAAGTTGATGCATTCAAATTCCGGACGATAAGTTATTTAAATACTATTTTATTTTCAAAGATTGTTGTAGTGCAAAAGCACACGTAATTCAATAGTTAAGAAACCAAGTACGAAGTACAGTATGCACGTATATTTACCAGTCTCCGCAATATTCCTATCATCCTCGTGTAGAAAAAACTACTACTGCTCATCTTAATGAATTATATCAAAAAAGTTCACTTAATACTGCCTAGTATGTATTTGTGCAGTGATAAGTTACAAAGGTGTGTTAGTCTGTGTGTTAATAGATACGTGTTACTTATCTGTTGTCATGACACCTAAACATTCATCACCTGTAGAAATCGTCAGATAAACAACACATTATTTATACCCTATAAACATTATGGGATAGATATTTCACACATTATTTACCTCCTTTAACGATAAGAGGTTAAGCTGCCCCAGTTATCTGTGTGGACTGATGCATTTGACAGAGGTAAACTAATGCGTTTCCTAAAATAAACATAAAAGTGTAGATATTTTGTCTAACAATTTTATTTGAAAACCTTTTCACAGAAACACAAAGGCACACATCACATACTGAACAAGAATCAGTGAAATAACACTGTTTGCTTTGATAAACATGTAAAATGTTTGTGTTTTATCAGTCAAGTTTAACTTCCTTACAACAAAAGGTGACAATGATTTTATTTCCGATCGATGATAGTTGTGTCACAAAACCTTTCGACTTCTATAAATGTAAACACGTATCACCCGAATCGATACAGTTGTACTGCTAAGAAGACATAGAACATGTTTCGAATTGAAAATGGTAATAAAGATTTGAAGATGGATTTCTAAACGAAATGCCTCTCCAGTATCATGTTTGTTTTGTCACAAATTTTGTAGAGTTTTAACCACATCGTTTCCCTCTTGAAATCATGCAGTCGGTGGTAGTGGAAAAGTTATATTCATATACTTGTAATACAAGGACGTCGCTCGCACGAAAACGTAAGATAGATAGGTAAATCATGATAGGTAATCTTACCATTCAGTTAAAGAATATCCCAATAAAGATTTTTTCTACAAAGTATAAGATTCCAATTAAAAGTGAACACTTTGTTAATTAAAAACACATATTATATTTGTTTTAATGGGCATTTCTCAGTTTCGTTCTACGAGACACAAGAACGGATTATTTCAACACAGAGATAGTTTTTCGGGAGATGATAGGTTTATATAATGCGGAATGCCAGTTACAGACGGTAATGATATGGATGTGTGTTTGGGAAAATAAATTGCGTTAGGCCTATAGTTCTTGTCAAAGAAAACCGAAAAAAAATGTTCTGAGGACCATTATAATCTAATTTAATTAATGAGGTTTCAAAGTCATGAAGTGGACGTTTATAAAACCAATTGTGTGTGATTAAATTCAATACCATTGTTAGATTAAAGTTACATTTAGAATTATTGGACATTTGCAATGGAATAGAGAAAGTGAGATTTGCTAGAGATCAGAGATTGAGTTAATGTCAGTTAATTATCTAATACAGGGAAGTCATTCATGTTAATCCTTTCATACAGTGATTCATTGTTTAATTAAATTGTCGATCAGTTGTTGTTATAACGATCTGCTTTCTTGAATGGGTGTTGAGGAATTTGTGACATCGTTTTAAAAAGGGCGTTTGATATACAAGGTGAACTAGCGTTTTTGGATGAACGGCATAATTCTAAGGACTGATTCTGAAACATCTGTAAAATGAAATAGAATTAGCGGCGTAGTTAGAAAACTTGATTTTATTATCCTAAAAAATTACCTCCCCTTGACACCGAAGGACGAATTTTAACAGGCTGTGGGGTGTGGATCTGGGACATGCCTCTGTGATATAAACCAGCGATTCCCACTTAACAACTACTAAAAAAGCAAGAGAATATTTGAGGTTGTTTTTTTTTCTTATATAGTACGTGTAGTAAACACGATCCGTCGTATCCACATACAATTCCTTACTACCCCTTCCTGCCAGCATTAACAGGGCGTGTGGCGCTCTAATTCTGAAATTGACACTATCTATCAGCACGAGATAGTACCCCCCTCTGGCTGTCACTTTCCTCCTAGAGATATCCTGAACGGAGATTGTGAAATGACCTCTGCTGCACATCGTTTGTTAACGTTACAGCACGTGGATTTCACGTGTAAACTACGTTCTTAAACATGCTTGATCTTTTTGTATGAAGATGACATACAAACTTATACTCGATCAACAGAAGAAGCTTTAAGCATCATAGCTCTTATTCTATTTGTGTAGAATGTTTGGTTGATGCTATCTTGTCTAGCTCTCGCATGTTTTGTGTTCACCAACGCCATTAAATGTTATACTCTTGAATTTGTAAGTGTTGCGTTTGGCTGACTAATATTTAGGCATCATCAGGGAAGTTGAGTATTAGATATAACATACTCGCCTTTTTTTATTTGGTTGAGAAGGTATGTTGTTGATCAAGATGGATTGTTTCTAGGGTATTGACCGTTTGTTTCTGTTTCTAAATCAAACATTTAGACAAGTTCTATTGACACCGAACTAGCGCCAATTATACAGTCATGATAGACACTGTGCCGACCCAATCTGTGGAGCACCAGCTAATACG